ACTTGTTTTATTTTAAATCCCTTTCTGTGCCTAATATACATGTTATCAAAGGTATGTATGTTTAGGAAAAAAACTGTGTGTGTGTGTGTGTATAGTGCAGTTTCAGGCATCCACTGGGGGTCTTGGAGTTATCCCCTGTGCATAAGGAGATATTACTGTACCTGGTAATCAGAGGTTTAATGTAGAAAAATGTGTTCTTTTGTTTATTTTGTTTTGAGTTGGAGTCTTGCTGTTTCCTTGGCTGGAATACAATGGCATAATCTAGGCTCACTACAGCCGTGACCTCCCAGGTTCAAGCAGTTCTCCTGTCTCAGCTGTCTCAGTAATTGGGATTACAAGCATGCACCAGCACTCTTGACTAGTTTTGTTTTTTTTCCCCGTATTTTTAGTAGAGACGGGATCTTAACCATGTTAGTCAGGCTTGTCTTGAACTCCTGACCTCAAGTGATCTGCCCCCCTAAGCCTCCCAAAGTGAGGCTCCCTGCCAGTTTGTTTGTTTATTTATTTTTGAGATGGAGTTTCACTCTATCGCCCAGGCTGGAGTGCAGTGGCACGATCTCCACTTACTGCAGCCTCCACCTCCTGGGTTCAAGCAGTTATCCTGTCTCTGCCTCCTTAGTAGCTGGCATTACAGACATGCACCACCACGCCTGACTAATTTTTTTATTTTTAGTGGAGATGGGGTTTCGCCATGTTGGCCAGGCTGGTCTCAAACTCCTGACCTCAAGTGATCCGCCAACCTGGGCTTCCCAAAGTTCTGGGATTACAGGTAGGAGCCACCATGCCTGGCCTAGAAAAACAGGTTGACTGAAAGCTTTGTGGCTCTTCAGAGGGGAATATTACTATTTTCTGATTTCAGAATCATTGGAAACGTTGTAGCCCATGTAATTTCTGACTACTCACGTATCAGTAGCAGCAGAATGTTTCTACTTTCCAATTGCTAGTGACTATAACATTCCATTTTGACTGCTATTGGGGCAGCAACTGCCACACTCCAGGTGAAATCCTGCAATGCAGTGAAATTAATCATTAATTGGCAGGGCATGGTGGCTCACAAGCATAACCCCAGCACTTTGGGAGACCAAAGTGGGAGGATTGGTTGAGGCCAAGAGTTTGAGATCAGTCTTGGTAACATAGTGAGACCATGTCTTTACCCTCCAAAATAAATAAATAATTAGAGGCCAGGCCTGTTGGCTCACACCTGTAATCCCATCACTTTGGGCAACACGTTGAAACTCCATATCTACTGAAAATGTAAACATTAGCCAGGTGTGGTGGTAGACACCTATAATCCCTACTCAGGAGGCTGAGGCAGGAGAATCGCTTGAACATGGAAGACATAAGTTGTAGTGAGCCAATATTGCCCCACTGTACTCCAGCCTGGATGACAGAGGGAGACTCCCTCTCAAGAAAAAAAAAATGAGCCTGATTTGATTTGCTCCTGCTGTCTCAGCTGCTTGGGAGGTAGAGGAGACAGGTGTTTCACTTAAGCCCAGGAGTTTGAGGCCGCAGTGAGCTATGATTGCATCACAGCACTCCAGCCTAGGTGACTGAGTGAGACCTTGTTTCAGGGGGGCAAAAATCTGCTAACGGACAAATTTCAAGAGTTAAACTTGAAAGAGTCAGGCCAAGGCATGGACATAGTTTCAGAGTATTGGAGGTCAGTGATAGAGTCTTTTAATAACTACTGATTACAGACATTTTTAGGGCATTTTTACAATTCCTTTGTCAAGGGAAGCTGAGGATATTCTACATCAGGCTTTCTGGTGTAACTTTTTGTTTTGTGGAGCTTTGCTTTCTGAGTGAGACCTTCCCAAGTGCCCTGGAAGGCCCTGTGTGGGTATAACCTCTCTTCCTAACGAGCAGTTATCTCTTTGGATACAGTGTCTGGTCAGGGACACACTGGCCTTCCCCGTGATTGTCCACAGGGAGGAGACTGAAGTGCAACCCATAAGAAAAAGTTGTCCCATCAGGTTGAGATGATAGTGCAGGTTTGCTCTGTACCTTTCCCATACTGCTGTTAAAATGGAAATCTCTTTTCAAGAAAACTTTCATAGAAGTGTATCAGAAACATTCTGTTCAAGGAGGAGGGTGCATAAGGCTTATTGCCTGTAATATGCGTGAAATATCCTGTTGTAGGGAAGCCATAGTATTTATATATTTTTCATTTTAATGGGCCTGGTCCTCATCATCATTTTTTTTTTTTTCTTTTATTTTCTTTTGAGATGGAGTTTCACTCTTGTTGCCCAGGCTGGAGTACAATGGCATGATCTCAGCTCACTGCAACCTCCACCTTCTGGGTTCAAGCAATTCTCTTGACTCAGCCTCCCTAGTAGCTGGGATTACAGATGCCTGCCACCACGCCCAACTGATTTTTTTATTTTCTTTTTTTATTTTCTTTTTTCTGTCGGCATGAGCTACCATGCCTGGCCTTATTTTCTAATAAATAAGTTTGTTTATTTATTCTGAGATAGGATGTTGGTCTATGATTTAGGCTGGAGTGCAGTAACACTAATATAACTCACTGCAGTCTCAGCTTCCTGCACTCCAGTGGTCTCACCTCAGCCTTCTGTGTAGCTGGGACCACAGGCGCATGCCACCACATCTGACTAATTTTTAAATTTTTCTTAGAGACAGGGTCTCGCCATGTTGCCCAGGCTGGTCTCAGACACTTAGGCTCTATCTATCCTCCCACTTCTGCCTTCCGAGGTGCTGGTATTAGAGATGTGAGCCACTTGCCTGGCCTAATAACATTTTTTTTTTTTTTTTTTTTTTTTTTTTTGAGACGGAGTTTCGCTCTTGTTACCCAGGCTGGAGTGCAATGGCGCGATCTCGGCTCACCGCAACCTCTGCCTCCTGGGCTCAGGCAATTCTCCTGCCTCAGCCTCCTGAGTAGCTGGGATTACAGGCACGCACCGCCATGCCCAGCTAATTTTTTTGTATTTTTTTAGTAGAGACGGGGTTTCACCATGTTGACCAGGATGGTCTCGATCTCTTGACCTCATGATCCACCCGCCTCGGCCTCCCAAAGTGCTGGGATTACAGGCTTGAGCTACCGCGCCCGGCAATAACATTTAAATATTGCAGACTTTAGCGCAGATATTATACTTCATAATTTACAAATTGACCGAAATTGGAGGGAATATGGTATTTAAAATAATAAACATATTTGAAAGAATAAAACATGTTTATTTTAAAAAATCATTAAATATGGCCAAGTGTGGTGACTCACACATGTAATCACAGCACATTGGGAGGCTGAGGTGGGCAGATCACCTAAGGTCAGGAGTTCAAGACCAGTCTGGCCAACATAGCAAAACCCCGTCTCTACTAAAAAAAATGCAAAATTAGCTGGGCATTGTGGCACATGCTACTTGGGAGGCTGAGGCAGGAAAATCGCTGGAAGCAGGGGTTCCAGCGAGCTGAGATCATGCCATTACCCTCCAGCCTGGGCTACACAAGTGAAACTCCATCTCAAATAAATAAATAAATAAATAAATATTAAATATTCAGAACTGCCAACCCTGGAGCATCCGACATTAAGTTAGCGTAGTTCTTTCCTATGTGTAAGGTGAGTTAATACCATATCCACAACCTGGGCAACAAGAGTGAAACTCTATCTCAAAAAATAATTAAAAATAAAAAATTATTAAATATTCAGAACTGCTAACCCTAGAGCATCTGACATAGTTAGCATAGTTCCTTCCTAGCATGTAAGTAAGCTCAGTTACTGTCATACCCAGTTTAGATAGCCTGCTTAACAGAGACTTATGCCTTCGAGGCAATAGATTATGGGGCAGTAGGTGGGTTAAAAGAGAAGTAGGTAAGGAAATGTGGAAGGCTTGGCATTTCAAGGTGCTTGGGAATGTGTGCCATTGGCTCTGGTGGTGCCCTGCCCAGCAGTGCTCTGCTTTTAAACCGTGTGCACTGTGGAGCAGGCCCTTCTTGCTCGTACCTGGAAGGGTGGACCATGTCCAGCCGCCTCTTAGAGGAATCTACTCTATGGCCTTTTCTTCCTGCACTCTTTGCCCTGGACTTTTTTTTCATGTTAGTTGTGCAGTATTATCTGGAATTATACTTGAATGATAGTTGACATTTTTTTTTGTAAACACTTAAAAAAATCTTTTTGTTGCTTGTTCTGAAACTTGTAACTTTTCTGCTTCTCAGGAAGATGATTTTTAATGTTACATTGCTCATGATACAAACTCAGAAGCAACACTGTCTGAAGAAACAGTCCCTTTATGCATTTTAGTAAACAACTGCATTTATTTTTAAAAATTCTATTTATAGAAAGAATAAAAATACTGAGTAAGAGCATGCTGTCCTCTGATTGAAATAAATGAAATTTGTGAATGGACCTGGACATTTATTTTGGTTATTGAGAGCTCTTCTGCTCATTCTCCAATTATTTATTTTGGCTGAAGCTACTATGTAAATGACCTCATCCTTGAAGCTTACCTAGTAAGATAAGTGCTACTACCTATTTTTTTTTTCTGCATACCTATAACAAAACCAGGGAAGAAAATTGAATATAAAGTTAGCCACAGATGCAAAAATATACTTAAGTGCGATTTCTGATGATTGAAAAGATGGAGATACATTGATGATTGGAATTTCATTTTATATCAAGAACAGAATGTTGAGGGAGGAGGTAAAACAAAAAGTCAGTGATTAGATTAAACTGCATTCCTAGACAACATGTAATATTGGGAATGTTATTTAAAGTTTGTGCTAAGTGACCAGCTATAATTATTAAGTTGCAGTGGCAGCTTCCCCAAGGAAAAATAGAGAAATCATATTTCTGAAGAGGTGGTCAGTTTCCGTATTACTAGTGTATAAACATTTTAGTTTGAATAAAAGGGAAAAAGAAATAGTGTTTCTCCACTTGTTTTTTCCTGTTTGTATAATTAGTTTATAATCACAGCATTTACTTATATGAAATCCAGAAATCAAGTAGATTCCTTGATTTACCTTGTATGTATGTTTTCTTTTCCATCTAGATAGACATTACATCTCAGAGGAAATAATCCAGGCAAGGAAGCACAAGCTGATCAAGATGTGTAGCTCTGTGGCTGCCAAGTTGTGGTTTTTGACAGATCGTCGCATCAGGGAAGACTATCCTCAAAAAGAGATTTTACGAGCATTGAAGGCCAAATGTTGTGAGGAGGAACTGGACTTTAGGGCTGTGGTGATGGACGAGGTGGTGCTGACAATCGAGCAAGGAAACCTGGGTAAGTCTATACTAACTGATCTTCCGGATTTTTACTTAGAATATGATGAATTTGCATGTTTTAGGAATAATTAGGACAGAGGAATTGTTAGCCTTGTCATTACTAAGTGTCTTCTAATTACAAGGTCTGATACATTTTATGGAGGTAAATGTGAACACTAATATTTATTAACTTACTGTGTTAGGAAACAGTTGTGAGGGAAATTAATGATGACTTTCAAAACAAACAATAAAACAAAGTAGGCCCATGCCTGAAGTTCCAGAGGCTAAGGTGGGAGAATCACTTGAGTCCGCAAGTTTGAGTCCAGCTGGGCAACATGGTAAGACACAGTCTCTTAAAAATAAAAGTGAAGTTGATTCTCTAATTCCTGTTATTTTTACTGTCTTCTAGTTTTAAAATACCTTGTTTGTAAGGTACTCCTAAGGAAATTTGTATCTTTGGAGGTTCTTTGAGTAATACTTGAATAATAAGTTAAATCCATGTGATTCCTTTTTATAAAATACTTTATACATGCAGTATAAACTAAAACAGTTTTTCTTATAGGTGAAGGTGTCTTAATGATTTAACTCAATTAGTGATAAATATTTCTAGTATTTTTAATAGTTTGTATTTGTTTTAGGATCGCAAGGGGAAGATATCCTAAAAAAATAGAGAAATTCTTTAGTGAGTTTCACTTTCTTTAAAAGTTACCACTTTTTTAAAACTGATTTTCAGGAAACTCAAAATTTTTGCTTTTGAAAGTTTTATGGCTGGCTTGCTATAGCTAAATTGGTAGTTTCTGTCAGGGAGAATTATATGGTGTCATAAATGGAATTTTTGATTGGCTTTCAGAAAATATTTCATAATTTAATGATACAAAAAATTTAATACGTCTTAGATCACTTTCTTGCTTTGTGACTAGAATTATACTGAAGCCCCGTGATTTAATTTCCTAATCAATGAAGTAGAGAAAGACAGTTATGAGAATTAATGCTATGTAAAACATAATAAAGTCTTACTTTATCTACCATGGTAGGATAATTTCATTCACAGGCTACTTAACCGATCTAGAGTCTTGTCTAAATTAATAAAATGTTACCATAGGTTGAGTATCACACTAAGTATAATCTCTTAGAAAACATCACTTTTATTTTCAATCCTCTTGTAGCATTTATTTCATCCACAGTACTTTTGGTATCTTTTGTTAACCATAGATGTTTCTTTGTTGTTTTACTTAAATGGGTAAATGTTGTTCTTTTATTTTGAGATAGGGTCTTACTTTGTTAAGCAGGCTGGAGTGCAGTGGCACGATCTTGGCTCACTGCAACCTCTGCCTCCCGGGTTCAAGCAATTCTCAGCCTACTCAGCCTACTCAGCCTACTGAGTAGCTGGGGATTATAGGCATGTGCCACCACACCCGGCTAATTTTTGTATTTTTAGGAGAGACAAGATTTCACCATGTTGGTCAGGCTGGTCCTGAACTCAGGTGATCTGCCTGCCTCGGCCTCCCAAACTGTTGAGATTACAACATGAGCTACTGTGCCCACCTACTCTTGTTTTCTTGAATGTAGTTACTGGCTTTATGATGATGATGCTCACTATTTCATTTCCAGCATAATTCTCTTTTCAGTATATATTCCCTGATATACAGGGTCCAATACCTAGTTATTTAGATTCTGGAGATCTGGGATAGAGTCTTTCATTAAGTATTATTTAAGCATTTACTATGTGCTCGATAGTCGTATGGTATATGAAATAAGATATAGTCCCCCTGTATTCTAAAGGATAAGGTTAACATTATCCAGACAATCACACAAATAAATGTAAAGTTTTTATCACTTTGTTAAGTTATGAATGAAAAGTATAAATGTACATTGTACCCCTCTCATATCCGTGACTGAGACCGTTGATCAAGTTAAATCTTCTCTAAAACTCATTATCTGTGACATGCTTGTTCAACTTACAGAGCTATTTCAGTATACGTATATGTACAGTTATTAAAATTGGAGTCAGAAACTCAGACACTATTGTTTTAAGAGCCATGTTTGTGAAGTCTGCATGAGACGAGACATACCAGTGTAAAACGTTAGTTCACTCAACAGCGCTCCCAACAAGGCTTCTGGAGTTTGGAAAACCAAAGGCTATAGCCATAGTTCCTTATGAAATCTAGTGGCTAACAAGTAATAACACAAAATTTGGGAAATAGAAATCGGCGTCTCCCCCCCCCCCCGCTGCCCCGAGACAGATGTCCCCCAGGCTGGAGTGCAATGTCATGGTCTCGGCTTACTGCAGCCTCCGCCTCCCAGGTTTAAGCAATTCTGACTCAGCCTACTGAGTAGCTGGGATTACAGGTGCACAACACTACACTTGGCTAATTTTTCTGTATTTTTGTAGAGATGGGGTTTCACCGTGTTGGCCAGGCTGGTCTTGAACTCCTGACCTCAGGTGATCCACCTGTCTCGGCCTCTCAAAGTGCTGGGATTACAGGCGTGAGCCACTGCGCCCAACTGGGCATCTCTGTTTTTTAAAACTGTATAGGTTGAAAAGGATCTAGGATTGAAAACCATTGCTCTTGACATTTTTCCCAGTAACCTAGTAAACATTTTCATTTTATGCTCAAGTGGCATTTCTGTGCCATTCTAACTTTTTTCTGTCAAAACTGTCTTGTTATCTCAGCTTCTCTTGTCTCTGTAATTTACCTTTCTCTCATTGAGCTAGCCTTACCATTAATATGTCTTTTTTTTTTTTTTTTTTTTTTTTTTTTTGAGGCAGAGCCTTGTTCTGTCGCCTGGGCTAGAGTGCAGTGGTGCAATCTTGGCTCGCTGCAACCTCTGCCTCCCAGGTTCAAGCAATTCTCCTGCCTCAGCCTACTGAGTACTGGGACTACAGGCTCGTGCCACCGTGCCTGGTTAAGTTTTTGTTTTTTTAGTAGAGATGGGGTTTTACCGTGTTAGCCAGGATGGTCTTGAACTCCTGACCTCCTGATCCACCCGCCTTGGCCTCCCAAAGTGCTGGGATTATAGGCATCAGCCACTGTGCCCAGCAAGGTGAAGACCAATATTTTAATTAATAGGTAAAAGAAAGAGAAAATAGATCAGCTCTCTCTCCTGTGAGAGAAAGGGGTACCTGAGTGGGGCTTTCCATGGCTTCAAATTTTAATGACTTTAGTTAGCCCTCTAGCTTTTTTCTTCTTTTCTGTTTTGTTTGTTTGTTTGTTTGTTTTCTTTCTTTGAGAAGGGGCCTCACTCTGTCACCCAGGCTGGAGTACAATGGTGTGATCTTAGCTCACTGTAGCCTCAGTTTCCCAGGCTCAAGGCATCTTCCCACCTCAGTATCTCTTTCTTTTCTTTTTCAAAATTGTCTTTTCCTCTCTAGCATTTTCATATCTTCATTAAACACAACTTTTGTCATTTTGATATTAAAAACCTTTAGAAATGTACTTTTCCCTTGTAGTGTTAAATCTGATTTTTTTTTTTTTTTTTTTTTTTTTTTTTTTTTTTTTTGAGACGGAGTTTTGCTCTTGTTACCCAGGCTGGAGTGCAATGGCGCGATCTCGGCTCACCGCAACCTCCGCCTCCTGGGTTCAGGCAATTCTCCTGCCCCAGCCTCCTGAGTAGCTGGGATTACAGGCACGCACCACCATGCCCAGCTAATTTTTTGTATTTTTAGTAGAGACGGGGTTTCACCATGTTGACCAGGATGGTCTTGATCTCTCGACCTTGTGATCCACCCGCCTCGGCCTCCCAAAGTGCTGGGATTACAGGCTTGAGCCACCGCGCCCGGCCTAAATCTGATTTTTAAAGTTTTAAGACTTTTTGTTGATGCACCTCCTATACATTCAGGCATTCCTAGGAGGGTTTTTTCTTTCTTTTTTTTTTTTTTTTTTACATTTTTCATATATTATTTAACTCATGTCTTATGGAGGAAGTGATATTACTGTTATACAGATGAGGAAACAGCCTCTTTCACAGAATTAAATGGAGAGATTTAAACAAATTGGGATAAGGGAAATGTTCTAAAATTGTGACTATTTTGTACAATACAGTGAAAATACTAAAAACCACAGTTTTATACTTTAAATGGATGAATTTTACAGTATGTGAATTATATTTCAAAGCTGTTTTAGAAATGTTACACGTCATCTATGCCAGCAGTGTTTTCACAGTCAAGTTAAAGAGAGCGGGTAATCGTAAATGAGAAGGCATAGAAGTTCTTGCTTTTGCTTTTTTTTTCCTCATTGCCTCTCCGTTTGTGCCAGTGTATGTAAAACTTCTCTCTTGAACTTCCCTTACAAATCTGTTCTATCTCCATTATTAGTCTTTTCTATTAATGGTATCCTCTTCCTAGCCTAAGCTTGAAGAAATCACGAAGCCAACTTTGTTGTTCATTCTCCCTTACTTGCAAATAATAATGTTGTAAAAGACTTGTCTGTTTTGTTTGTAATATATCTGAAATAATGTCTGTTCTTATTACTGCTAATGAAATCAAAGTTGACTGAACTGTTGGAGAGTAACCTCTAAATTTGTTTCCACTTTAAATTCATCTTCTAATGTACTGTAGTCAAATTAATCTTTCAGAATTATGGCTCTAGTTATATTTGCCGTTCCCAAATCTTCTGTATCTCTTTATTGTCTAATCCTCCAAGGTTTTTTATTGTTGTTGAGTAACTTCATCAGTTAAAAACTTTTGAAACATTCACTCCAATATATGCCTGTTTTAAAATAATGAATAGTGTGCTATACCGTTGCCTGTTGTAGGACTGTCCTTGGGCTAGCAGAATTATATTTTCCTTGTTCAGCTGTTTTTTGAGACGGAGTTTCGTTCTTGTTGCCCAGGCCGGAGTACAATGATACTGTCTTGGCTCATTGCAGCCTCCGCCTCCTGGTTCAAGCATTTCTGCTTCAGCCTGCCGAGTAGCTGGGATTACAGGCACCTGCCACCATGCCTGGCTAATTTTTGTATTTTTAGTAGGGATGAGGTTTCACCATGTTGGCCAGGCTGGTCTTGAACTCCTGAACTCA